CTCACGCCCCCACACACTGAAGAGAAGGTTGAGAAAACTAGAAAAGTAAATGAGGCAAAGTGAAAAGTGATAATTCGGACATTGGTCTATGTGGGACCGTTGATAACCTTTGGTTAGAGTTTGATGTCCCCCCTTTTTAGGTCTTTGCTAGGGGCCAAGGTTGTTTGGGCCTCAGTCTTAGGAGGTTTGCTATCTAACAGGCTTATGTAAAACTAAGATCTGGGGAGCGGGTTGCTGGGGACAGAAAAGAGAATCAGGGTTTGAGAGTTGCTGCCTGAAACACATCTAATTCTGTTTTTTTAGAGGATCTCCCCTCCCCCCAAAAGTTTCCAGTTTTCTAGTAAAATGTAGAAGGCTATCTATAAATCTTCTAGTTTGGGAATGGAATTAAAAAAGAGTTTAGGAGAGAATGATAATTCACTTTGGATGCTAATCAGAAGCAGAAGAGAATTTGAGTTGCAGGAGAGAAAAACTCCCCGCTCTTTTCGAACGTGTGTTAACTAGACCCATCACAGGGCTCACTGTGTCTGAAGCCTGCTCCCTGTCTTGGGCCCAGTGGATCCCAAAGTGAACTTCTGCCTCCTTAGAGCTGGTGTTTTTCAGGGAGGAAGACGCGGTGGGGGACATGGTATTCTTTTACTTGCGTAGAATAGTCTAGTTGAGTGGAGACCTGAAAGATGTCAGAGTGACAGGTAAAAATGCCAGGGGTCAGTGGGGTGGGCATAGCCAAGGGAACAGCAGCAAGTGTAAAAACTGAGCTGGGTCTGTTTTTCTTGTGATTTAATTTGACTGTGGTCAGAGTTTGATGTGCTACGGTGAGTTTTAAAGGGCCGGAGAGAAAAATAGGAAACAAGAAGTAGAAGGGGCAGGACCAGTGGTGTGAGTGGCAAAACAGGGAGGGTAAAGGGAGAATGGGTAGGAAAGAGGGAACCGATTACATGGAACTGTGTGTGACCTCCTCCCTGGGGGACAGACAACCAAAGGGTGGATGAAGGGAGACGTCGGACAGGGCAAGATATGACAAAATACCCATTTATAAACTATCAAGGGCTCAGGCGGGAGGGGGGAGCGGGGAGGGAGGGGAAAAATGAGGACCTAATGTCGGGGGTTTAAATGGAGAGAAAATGTTTTGAGAAACGATGTACAAATACGCTTTACACAATTGATGTGTGTATGGATTGGGATAACAGTTGTATGAGCCCCTAATAAAATGTTTAAAAAAAAAAGAAGTAGTAGTAGAAGGGGGCCAGTCAGGGGAAACCACTGAAGGACATGGCACATAAAATGAGATGGAACTTCTACGGCTGTGCCTGAGTAGACCATGTGGTGAGCAAAAGTGGAATCTGAGGCTAGAGGGACGCGGTGGTGGTGGCTTTGCACAGGGGACTGGCGTGGAGGTGGTGAGAAGTACTTGGAGTTTCAATATGTTTTGAAGGCAGAGCCAACAGAATTTGCTGGTGTCCTTTGTGAGAGAACAGAGGAGATGAGAATAACCGAATGTTTTTCTTTCACGTTTAGAAAAACATGTTTCTGTTACCAGGATGGGGAAGACTGGGGGCGGGTGGTGGTGGAACATGCACAGGGAGTCAAGATTTTGAGTCTTCACATGTTCAGCTGGAGTTACTTGCTAGACATCCAAACAGGTTTTGAACAGCCTGTAGCCAGCCTGGCATCCCCGAGAGGGGTTTGGACTTTGATTTGCCTTTTCTTCCATCACGATTTTAAGCTCATTGGAGCAACTTAACAGTTGCTGTTTTCTGAGTTAAGGCAGGAATTGGAGAACATCCCGTTAGATTATCTTTGAGTGCTTAATATGGCTCACCTGTATATTCCACCCACAACAGAGAAAAAATGATTATAGATATGTTAATGTCCTTAGCGGCATCGTATGACGCTGAATGAACAGATTTAAAGAGTCAACTTGGATGGAACCTAGGCCTCTTTAGTTTTTACTTTGCCATTGGATTTTATTTAGTTCATTGCAACAGGCTTTTTGGTGGGGGAAAGAATACTCTTTCTCCGATTGTCTTTTAATTTGCTTTCTAAAGTAGTCAGTATTGGTAAGGGAATGAATGTCAGCTCCTGAGGTAAGACTTACTGCAGACACATGAATGGCAGTGGCTAGAATCCCGTGGACAGAGTGTAAGGAAAATTCTTGGTTCTGGTCACTCTTGTCATGTTACAGACTTGTTGGTGCCGCAGCTCTGATTCAGTGAACAAAACACATCCCAGTCCTGCACCATCTTCACAATTTTCCTAGAGAATATTGGTGTTTTTTTATTTCTTTGAGGCTATCATTTTAAAATGTGGTATGTTTTGAGTTTGTGGTGCATAAAATACTGGCCTTTGAAGTAATGACTTGAGCAGGTTTTCATATCTAAACCTTGGCCTCCTTTTCAGCACAGTGGTACAGACGGCAAGGTGCAGAAACATTGAGAGGTGTGACACTGGTGCCATTGGGGCCCTGATGGGGACACCACAGCAGACAGGCTTGAAGAGAGGCGAGGGAGGGGAGGGGAGCAGCTGGTGCAAAGACCCAAGGTGCACATGAGTTTAGGGACAGAAAGAAGGCTGATGAGCTGTTTGTGAAAGTACTTTGAAGATTTGGAACACTCACAGCTAAAGTGCTGTTATCTTTAGAGAACACAGCGTGTGCACACACCCGCCAGCTGCCGTCGTTAGTAAGCTGCCAGGTTTCCCTACACATGGATTAAAAGGAGAAGGTTGGACCCACAAGTCACAAACTCCAGCACTTTGTAAAGTGTGATTAATGCTCCTTTATCGGTACCGATAGTCCCTTTTACGAGGTTGGCAGTGGGGAAGAGGAGGAGTATGGGCCAGTTACCAGAGATTTGGGGTGAGGGAGTTTGGGATCATTTCTGACTCTGACCATGTTTTTGTTGACTTTGGCCCTCTTGGTTCTGTTGTTAGGCGGGTTAGAGTTTTGCCAACATTGGAATCTGATCTTAGGTCTCTGGTCTTTTTTGTGGGTTTTTCTGTAATTGTTAATAATTGAAGTACCTGCGGAGTCTGGGTGTGAACTCTGCATACCTGATGGTGGCGTCTTTCGAGTTTGGGTGTGTAGGAGCCTGTTTATCAGAAATGTCCATAGTGTCAGCTTCCCCCCCCCCCTTAATCTATGTAAACATGACCCTGGGCAGCTGTGTTTAATATAGTAAGGAATTACAGGCACAGGCTACAGTGTTTCGTGCTGGGACTTAGTATCTGTGTATTTTAGTATTTATTTTAAAGGATGTGGTTTGGCTTTTGAAAATGAGAGTTGGTGCTATCCAGATAAAAAAAAAAAAAAAAGGAAAATGAGAGTTGGGGGAGGTCACCTTACTCATAACTGAAGGCCTTCATGCCTCAATTGTTCTGTGCCGGAGGTTATTAGCAACACGGAAGCTGGTTTTGCACTACTTAAACTGACAGTATCAAGTTAGGAAACTATTATGGAAGTGTCTGTTTACTCATGACTGGTGATGAGGATTTTCTTTAAAATTGGATATTGCACAGGAGTGTTTTAGATTGCCCGAGTGCTGGGGGGAAAGCTTTACTTACTGCAGACTAGTAACCTAGATGAGAGTGGCCACTCCTCATTCAAGAAACAAGCCCAACATTTTAAAAACAATAAACATAACAGCCTCTCAGAGGATAGAGTGCTTGATCAGGAAATGATGGGTGGAGTTGTTGAATTGCATCAACTTCCTGAGCTGACCAAATATTGATTAGTCACACTGGCGGAGCGTTCCAGTTGAGACGCTGGCTGATTGACTTGTTATTTGTGCCCTTGCGTTGGTTCAGACTCCGAGAGACTGGTCTGTGCACAACAGAAGGAAAACTGCCGGCCCTGTGCAAGCCTCACCCCTGTTGGAGCCCATTGTTGGAGTCACCGTGTCAGTCCATCTCAGAGGATCTTCCTCTTTTTGTCCGCTGCTCCACTCTCCCAAGCATGATGTCCTTCCTGAAGACTGATTGTCTAGTTCTTCTTTTAAGTCTTCAGGCTGGATCTTCACTTCTGTGAACCTTTGCCCCACACCGACACTGCGTGCTGCATGCTTTGTGAAGGACACAGGGAGGACTCAGACTACTCCCCTTCAGATGGAGACAAGGAGGGGACAGTAAGTGCCCCAGGACAGGAACTGGGGTCCAAAGGAGGCATATAAGTAGCCATTCGGTATATTGTTGGAGTAACTTAAAACCAAACCCACTGCCAGCAAGTTGATTTTGACTCTTAGAGTTTCCAGGGCTGTAACTCTTTATGGGAACAGAAAGCCTCCTTTTTCTTCAGAGGAGCAGCTGGTGAGTTTGAACCACTGGCCTTGAGATTAGCAGTGCAACACTTAACCCACTATCCCACCTGAGCTCCTTTCTGTTGATGTGGTGGGAGCAGACACAGGGGTCATATTTCGTTGTGTAAGGGGTTAGAGAAGGGAGGTCTAACGGGCAGGGTCAGCCAGTGTGACGGGGAAGGGCAAAATAGAGGAGCTTAGATGACAGGTGTTCTTAATGACAGCCCTGACATGGCTTCTGACGTTCTGGGCAGATTAGTGTACATGTGCTCTCTGACAGTTTTCTGGGACAGAGAACTCAAACCTTCCCTCTGGTGCTGAAAAGAGTCCAGGTTCCAAAAAAGACAGACTTGCTTTGATGAGTTGTCAACTTTGAGTGGCTAGGAGGGTGGGTGGGCAGGCTTTGGAGAGAAATTAAAAACAGAAACAAAAAAACATGAGGTAGAGCACATCTTTCCATGTGAGAAAGAGAGTGGGATTTAGAGAACAGAGTTCATGAAAGGGCCCTGGAGTCCAGCTGGTGGAGGATCCTGGGGTGGTGGGGTAGAGGATTGGCTGCCTTCTCCAGCTGGGTTTCCCACGCATCAAGTTTCCCACTGCAATCGATTGAATGACAGTGAAGGGTAGGTGCTTCCAGGCAAGAATCAGTTCTTAGCACTTCTCTTCCGTTAGTGTGAAGATGTGTCTAGAGGAGCTCCTTGCCGGTGTATACTTCTGATGGCATGCCTCTCGTGTTGTGGGTGCAGTTGGGCTAGCTCAGATCATCAGTGACCCATGGGACAGACTAGACCTGCCTGCCTCACACTCCTGGGCTGTAAGGAGTCCCTCTGAAGATATTCTGTGCCCAAGCCTGTGGGAGAGCCATCCAATCCCAGACAAGGACTGTGTTCTAGGGAGGCTGGTATGTAATACTTTCCTTTTGGCCTTTCTTTTTCTTTTTTCCGCTTGGGCTTCTGTATTTGGGGGTATCTATTTGTCTTTGACCATTTCTTGGGTAGGAGAAACATTCTATCATGTGAACTTGAAGTGACCTTGACTTATTTCTCGGCGGGTTTCGGCAAGGACCATGAATGCCCCTTGTAGTTAGGGGCCTTTTAATACAGCTCATTTGGTGATTTTCAGGGAAGTCATTTGGCTTTTCTATTAAGTGTTCCTGTGTATGTGTATGTATATATGCGCACATACAGTGTTGTTTAAAAGAAAGTATTTTTTAAATTACCCAGCACTTAGGAATTGTAAGGTGAAATGCTCCTTGCTTAAGTAAACTATTGGGTATCCTAAGTCTTACTGTAAAAAAAAAAAAATTAAGTATATTCATTACACTTAGTTACATTCCTTATTTGTGAAATGGGGTTATAATAATTATATCTCAAAGTTGTTACAAAGATTAAATTTATGACATGCATACATAATGAATCTCTTTATAACCATGTTCAGGTACATGCTAAATGTTAAATAATGACTATTATGACTATACATAAAATATCAGTATTAATATGTGAATAATATGCCCCCATATAGATACTAACTAGATTGCTCATTTAGATTACAGAGTAATTGAAAGCTGGATATGCTTAATTAAGTACATGGATTGATTAGTTGTGACCTCTACTGCCTTTCGGTTCCTTTTTATTGTTTTGGCTGCCTGTGTGTTTGTCTCTCTCCTTTTTTTCATTGCTTTCTGATTTACTTCCTGTTCAGTTTTCAGTAACTGGGGTGGAGCAGGGCAAGAAGAACTTATGCTGTGTCCCTTGTTTGAACCAGGAAGGAGTGGAGTGAGGGCCTCGGGTAGCCTGGGCCTTGGGTGGAGAAAGACTTAGGATGAGTCCCTGCAGTTGACTTACTCCAAATTGGAAGGTATGCAGCTGTGTACTGGTTGTGCATCATGAGCATTGTGAGGATCATTCATCTAGCATTTTCCAAACATCTCCATTCATTTATTTAAAGCAATTAATTATGGAAAAGTTTACTTATGTACAACTTCTCTCTCTCCACCCATCCCTTCTCTCTCTCTCTCTCTCTCTCTCTCTCCCTCCCTCCCTCCCTCCCTCCCTCCCACCTCTCCCCACTCCCCTGTCCCATCACTACACTTCATTAATTGTCATCTTGTAACCAATCATCTTTGAGCTGATTGTGACTCATAGCCACCCCTGTGTGTCACAGTAGTGCTGTGCTACACAGGGTTTCCAATGCCCAGATGTTTGGAAGCTTTCTTCTCAAGATGCTTCAGATAGACTTGAACCTTCAAATTTTGGGCTAGCAGCTGAGCCTGGTTAACTGTAACATCTGTTGCTCCTCTCTGCCCAGATTACACTTTTCTCCCTCCTCTGAGACATATAAGGGTCCCTGGGGGCATCGAGGGTTACATGTTGGGTTGCTAAGCTCAGGGTCGGCAGTTTGAACTCACTGACCACTCTGCAGGAGAAAACCCCAAAGGGGCATATCTACTCTGTTGGTTTGGGTTTGCTTTTGGTGACCGACAATTTGTGATGGTGTTTCATTTGTGGATGTTAACACTTGCTGGTGATCATTGTCTCACTCTACTCATTGCATCGTGGTGATAAGTAATTCTGTCACTCTGGTTTATTGTGCATCAAAAACTATCAGTAAATGACATTTAAGATTCTCTGCGTGTGTGTATGTGTGTATGTGAACTGTCTCTATGAACAACTTTTGTAGTAGTGTAGAACATGATTTGCTGGAATATACTATGTTGGGTAGAGTGATTTCAGATCCTTAAATTTCATCTAGTTGGTTGTCTTAGAGTTCTAAGATAGTTATTTTCCAGTTAGAAGTTATATGTAATTAGGGATCACTATCTGCTCAGATAAGAGCCCTGGTGGCAAAGTGGGTTATACATTGGACTGGTAACTGCAAGGTCAGCAGTTCAAACCTGCCAGAGATGCAGTGGGAGAAAGAGGAGGCTGTCTGCCCCTGAAAAGATTTAAGAAGCTTTGGGAATCTTATGTAGGGTGCTTTGAGGTAGAATGGATTCTGCTGGTATTTGAAATACTAGTGCATAGTTTGCAGCCTCATACCGTGCAGGCCACCACAATATGATAAACTGACAGACAGAGGGTAGTCTCTTGCTCCCCAAAGCTAATGGGTGTCGTTGGGTTTCTTTTTTGGATATATCTGTTCTTTATATTCACACTCAGTGATTTTTGTATTTTCTGAGTCTGCTTTCCAAATGAACTTGGACTTTTGATCATGTAAATACACATGGAAGGCAAGTTAAAGTGGTAGGTCAAGAGATGAAAAATTCAAGTTCTCAGTTTGTTAGATGGGCTTTAAGCAAGTTAATTTTTAAGTAACTCTTTAGAAATAATAATATAATACGTTTCTTGCAATAGACCACACCAACCAACATCAGCCTCCTTTTCCCTCAGACCAGAAGAACTAGATTGTGCCTGGCTACCACTGCCAATTACTCTGGAAAGGATCATAGAAGGTTCTCGATAGAGGGAGAGAAAAATGTGAAGCATAACACAAAGTCATTGAAGAGACCAGGTTTACTGGTCAGATAGAGACTAGTAGGACCCTCAAGACTATGACCCTTAGTGACCCTTCAGGTCTGTAGTGGAACGCACCCGTGTTAGAATAATCAAGTGTTTAAGAGCAAAAGGGCAGCATTCAGCCAAGGACACAGTTCAGAGGGATAAGAAAGAAGGGTGTGTGGAAACAGGAAACACAGAGAAGAAGTTGGATAAATGATGGTATAAGGGATGATTGCAGTGGATGAGTTGACTCAGAATGTGTATGAGTTGTGTTCAGTGTAAAACTTTCACATAATTTACAATAAAAAGTTGAAAATCACACACACACAAATAGCAGTTTTGCTCTCTGGGGCTCATGAAAAGCCACTGATTCCTTGATGAACCAGTGAGTGATTAGAGGTGTGGCGGAAATGTTTGTGCAGCAGAGATGAACTCTCCCCTCAAGTTGGCGGGAAAGTTGCCTCATCCACACAGTTACAGCATTACTCTAAGTTCAGCAAATGGCTTTTGAATTAGGCTTTGGGGTAACAGTGCTAAACCAGACTGACAAGGCTCCCTTCTCTTGGAAGCTTACCTCTTATTGCAATTATCCCGAAGTAGAACTGGAGTCCCCCATCACCCCCACCCTCACCCTTGTTGGTTGATATTCTGCCCAATTATCTTTTTGAGCAATTTAGAGCATGCTTTAGTGTGGAGAGAGAACACAAACCATATTTTTAAATGTGCGACATAAAATCATCTTTGTGTTTATTATGTAGAAAAAAAGAGCCGGTCATCTTTTAATGAACAAAAAACCTGCTTGTGAATTCTGAGTGTACTGTCTTTTCTTTTTTATCTTGCCCTCTAAGGTCATAAAATCGGTTTTCTGAAATAATTACACACATACACCCATTTTTAGCCACGGTTCATTTATCTTGATAAGATTGGGTTGATCACTAGTTACTTTTCAGTCCTTTGGGATGGCAGCTAAATATAAATATGGTTCCTGCATAGCCTGTATTTTCCGCCAAGAAATGACAATTTCAAATATTTTGTTCCATTTTTAGACACTTGGTTTTTAATTTAGATAACTATTGCTTTATGTCAGAGCTTTCAAACCGGTGCTTCCGACTCCTTCAAGGAGCATCCTAGCTGTAGCCCTTCCACGATGGAGTCGTTGGCTGTTTTGGTTCTCTGGGGCGCTCTGAATAGTCTTCGCCCGCACCATCATGTGGATGCATCGATTCTGCTTCAGTCTAACTTTCCCGTACATAGTAAGGTATGGAAAATACCATGGCCTGGGTCAGGTGGACTTTGTCCCCACAAAGAATACCCTTGATTTTCAGCACTCTAAAAGAGGTCCTATGCAGCAAGTTTACTTGATGCAATGTGTCTTGATCTCTTGACTCTGCTTTCATGAGTTCTGATTGTGGTTCCAAGGAGGACGAAATCCTTGACAACTTCAATCTTCATTACCATAATGTTACCCATTGGTCCAGTTGTGAAGATTTTGGTCTTCTTTACATTGAGTTGTCATCCATACTGAAGGCTGCGATCCTTGATCTTCTTCAGGAAGTGCTTCAAGTCCTCCTCACTTTCAGCAAGCAAGGTTGTGTCACCTGCATATTGAAGGTTGTTGATAAACCTGTCTCCAATTCTGATACTGCTTTCTTCTTCATATAATCCAGTTTCTCTGATTATTTGTTCCGCATACAGATTGGATGAGTATAGTGGGAGGATACAACCCTGAAGCATACCTTTACCGATTCCACACTGTGTTCTGTTTGCACAACTGCCGCTTGCTCCATGTACAAGTCCCTCACCAGCACAGTGGATTGTTCTGGCCGTCCCCTTCTTCACCATGTTGTCTATAGTTGTTAGGATCCACAGAGTTGAATACTTTGCATGATCAATAAAACATAAGTAAACTTCTGTTTGGTCTTCCTGCTTTTAGCCCCAATCCTTTCGATGTCAACAACGAATGCCCATGTTCCATATCCTCATCTAAATCTACACGGAACCTCTGGCAGCCACACAGCATTGCCCTGCTGCCACTGTGGATGAATTTCCAGTAAAATTTTGCTTGCACGTTAATCCTGGGGCCACCTTTCTCTGGAATGGGTACAAATACGGATTTCTTCTCATCGGTCGGCCAGGTTGCTCTCTTCCAAATTCCTTGGCAGAGATGAGTGAGTGCTTCCAGTGCTTCATCAGCCTGTGGAAACATTGCAGTTGGTGCTCCGTCAGTTCCTGGCGCCTAGTTTTTCACTAATGCTTCGAGTGCAGCTTGGACATGGTCTTTCAGTGCTCTGGATTCTTACTCATGTGCTGTCTCTTGATGTGATTGAATGTTGACTACTTTTTGATATGGTGACACTGTGTAATACCTCTTTTTTTCAATCTTTCCTTATCATCCATTATTTTG